AAGAGCGGATGTCGGTTAGTCGATAGCCTCGACTAGCCATGGCTTACCGCACGAAATCCAAAAATCCACATGAATTCACGATTAGGTAAACAAATTCGGATCGAAAATAGTATAGGTTTGGGGGAGGTAAGTTTTTAGAAGTTAAGAGTAAATAGTGAGTAGGCTATGGCTAAAACTTACTATTACTCGACATAGAGACTTTTTTCAGTAAATCAGCATACTTCCTGCGGCTGGCATTTCGTGTGGAAAACATGTCCACATTCCAGATGATATCCTTCTCCTTCTGAATTCGATTTCGTATCGCATAGAGCGAGAAATAACATTCAGATCGTGGAAAACCTTTGCCACCCTCGATTCCGGCTTCATCGTTGAATACAAAATAGAAATGATGCCAACCTTGGGCACGGGCTAACGCGTACATGAGTTTAGCCAGAGTTTTATAGTTGCCCATCATACGAGTGAGGAGAGGGAACTCCTTTCTATCACCCAATTCATCGACAAGCCCAGTTGTAGTGAATACAGGGACTCCGCCGAACCAGAACGCTGACATCCGTGCTACGGGCGCTAACGCATAGACGTAAGCCATACCCATTACAGCGTCTACAGTACGGTTACAGTAATGCTCGACCATACGCTGTGGGGCGATGGCATCGCTGAGTTGCGTGTCCTCGTAGACAACCCGTAGCGAGCCCGGTGGCATGAGCTTATGCTTGTAGTAGACATCTTCGACGGCAACATCGAAGACGGGCTGACTCTTGGGTAAGGTTAGTTTGAAAGGATTCTTGAAGATATGCCCCTCATCTCGGGGTAACCCAACTACAATATCGATCGGTAGACGAGGTGAATATTGGCCGCGAATATGTGTGATCAGCAGTAGAAAGTGGGCGATTGGGAACAGCAACGAATCATAGATCATGGTTTTTTGAGACAATACGCGATTAGCAGCAGGTCATGCATGATCCGAAGATCATCTGGAGGATCCTTGTGCTTCACTACTGGGGTGGGTCCACTCGGCGATGGCTTGGCCTGTTGTGGCAGGCGGGCCGCGTC